CTGCCCAGGCCAAAGTGGGGCGCCCTCGAGCAAGAGGCGGCCGGTCTGTGTGCTGAATGAATGAATGAATGCTACTTGCACGGCATGCCTCACCCTGGGTGAAATGCAAAATCTGGGGATTGGTGATCTGCAAGCTGATCTGCCCACCCTCGGAGTCGCCAGTGGGAGGGTTCTGCCAGTCATAATTCTACAACACGGACCGAAGTCGGGGAATGAGACACGCACCAACTGCCTACCTCCACTGCTGCCTTCTCGGCACCCGCTCCTCCACTCACCCTGACTTCGTTGTACCAATATATCTGGGAAGCAGTGCAGTCCTGGAGGCCGCTTGGGAGTGTGCCAAACCGATAGTACTGCAGCAGAGCAGATTGAAGCCTTGAGCAAGCCCCGGGTTCATGGCAGCTGACTGTTATCCGAGTACAAGCAGTATGTCCACAAGGGAACGCAGTTGGGGTGCAAAGCGCTCACCGTATTCTCGCCGTAGTTGCCATCATAGTACTTCCCCTCTGTATAGCAGCGAGTCGAGAAAAGGCGGCTGGAGGGAGGTGCACTGGGTAGGGTTGCCGGCAGTTGGGATCCGCAAGCAAGTTGGCCAAGTAAGCCAAGGCTTAATAATCAGATCAGTGCGCACCTGAGTGATTTATGGTGCACTGCTCTGACCAATCCTTGGCTGTGGCTGCTAGCGAATCATTCCAGACCAGTGGCGGCGACCTGCATGGCCAACAGAGGCATAGGTAGTCAATCGAGGGCAAGCTTTGCAGCCAGCGGGACTTCGTTCTTCCAGCGTGGCAAGCTGAGACCACAAAAAGCCAGCCAGCAATTGGGGAGGCCGCTACGCACCCGTGCAGCGACCGGTGGTAGTTTGTGAGGTTGAGCATGGCATCGATCTCGGCTTGGGTCCCTTCCAGCCCGCACCCCATGCTGCGACCAAGCAAGGCAAGGGAACACGCAGGCGGTATGAGGTAGCTGCAGGCTTGATGGGTCCATGCGCTTCCAAGGCAACATGGTCCCAGAGCCATGTCAGCCACAGCAGTGCCAGCAATGCCT